CGTTTGGCTCCACAGGGCTGCGTGTGTGTCTCAGATGCCTGGTGATGGCTGATAAGGAAGGTCTGCAGCCTGGGCCCCTCCGTGCGGTTCCTGCTTACTGATTCCCGGTGACAGCAGGGGAGTGGGGCCAAAAAGCTCTCCTGCCCTTCGCCAGCGAGTGGGGTTGACAGGATATATACCTGCTGTTGCTGGCCTTGCCACCAGCACGCAGGAGCCCCGGGCCCCTTTCACAGGCCGACTTATATCTGTCTTTGTTCTTCTGGATCATTTGTGGGGATGTTCAGGTTCACGTTCCTTCCGAGCTCCATGGGGCAGTGAGGTGCTGTGTGCTCGCGGTGGAGCCGCTGCGACAGGTAGTCTCAGCTGTGGCGGCTTACACGGAGGCGGGAGCGTGTGTGTGTGTGTATCCTCTGCCCTACGCAGCCCTTCAAGGATGAAGGCTGATGACTGCTTTTCCCCCTTTAACATGAGGCTTTTTGAAGTTTTCCCAGAGGCTGCAAGGCCTCTTGAGCCAGGCCTGCAAGTGGCCCACCTGATGTTTGCTCCCATGAACTTGGTGGATGTCAGTAACTGCATGAGAAGCTGAAAAATGTGGCCCAGCCGGGCCTGGAAAAAGGGGAGCGGGGAGTTCTGTTGCCTCCTAACTCGGCCACTTATTGCTGGGTGACCTGGGGCAAGGTCCTTATTCTTTCTAGTCCCCAGTGTCTGCATCTGAGAAATGGAGAGCTGGGGGAGGGAATAGTACATACTGGAGTAGTGTCTGTATTGTGTGTATCCCAGTGCATGGCATGTAGTAGGTGCTCAATAAATGGCTGTTCATGTTCTGATAATTAAGAAGTGGGAGTTGGTAGGCAGGGTCTCATTGGAAACTTTGCTGCTGATCCTATTTGTACATCTACCCATCTACTCATCTATCCATCCACCCATCCATCCACCCATCCACCCACCCACCCATCCATCCACCCATCCATTAATATATCCATCACACAAACACATACTGGGGGTCGGTAATGGGCCAGGTGCTATACTAAGAAGAAATGCATCTAGCCCCTCAAGGAGCTTCCAGTATGGTCCACATACCCAGCACCTAGCACAGCAAAAGCTCTCAGTAAATGTCTGATAAGTGGATTTGTTTGACTGGTTTTGAATATGTTTTCAATAGAATTTTAACATGAAACATATCATGGAACACAAGTTTTTGAATTGTGAATGTGCTTCATTTGTTAACCCCGTCAGCGTGCAGCACCCNGCCAAGTGACAGCTCCGGAGGTTCCAAGGCATAGCTTCCCATGCTGATGTATTTGCCGTAACCCATTGAGCCCTCCTCAGTTTCCTGAGAGTGAGGGTCCCCCTTTAGTGTCCTCTTGGCTGCAGCTTGAATAGGGGGTCTGCTGCTGTGCATTCCAAGCTGGGGCTGGGCGAGCAGTGTCTTGTGATGAGTCTGATACCCATGGCATGGTGGGAGAGACCCACCCTGCATTTCCACCTTGAGGTCCAGAGTCAGGTCCCTTGATTTGAGGAACATGTGTTAATGACAGAATTCGGGTAGAGGCTGCACCTTGGGTGGGGGGTAGGGTGGATACTAGCAGACATTTCTTTTTATAGAACATTCTCCTACTATGTGAGTATGTTCACTGTAGAAAAATGTGGGATGAAAAAGGAGCCATACTAGCGCCGGCTAACATTTCATGTGTTGTCTGTCAGTCCCTTTTAAGGAGCTTATGTTTGTAAAAATTAGACCCTATCATACGTGTTTTACAACCTGTTTTTTTCTTTACGGTGTTTATGAATATGTTGTGGCAATAAATTCCCTCCTACCGCATCAGCTCACATGGCGGCGGAATTCCACTGTGTGGGCGTGCCTTCCTTTATTTTATTTCTCTGTATTTCTCAGTCAGGCTGCGGCCAAATTTTCGAGTGTTTGTAAATCACTGCAGCAAATACGTCTGGAACGAAATTGTTCGGCACACCCAGAGTGGAAACTCAGCATCATTTTTAATGACACCTCCCTAAGGCTACGCGCTGCAGAGTGCCCCCGGCACCCAGACCCAGATCCGGATCCAGGTCTGGGTCCCACGTGGTTGGGAACCGCCTTGTGGAGCTCCTTCCAGCGGAGAACGCCCACGGACGGCTTCTTAACCTTTCTTGGTACGGGACCCTTTGAGAGGGTGCTGGGTGATGAGGCCTCCAGAATATTCTCACGGTTACCTCCACATAAGTTGGCAGCCAGTGTTCAGACCCGTACAGCCCCGGGGCCCCCTGGAGTCTGGTCCTGAGCCCTGACACAGCAGACAAGTGGGGACCTTACGGCTGTGGCTTTAAGGCTGAACCCCGGAGCTCCAGGCAGCCTGCACCGCTTGCCTGTGGTGGGGAAGCTCCAGCAGGGATGCTATACCCCTGTGGTCACAGGCCCTGCCATCACGTTGGGTGGAGCCCAAGCAGCAGAACCTCCCACCAGAGTTTGTGAGCTGCGAGGGCTCCTGAGAGGCGTGAGAAGGGGCGCCTGGCGGTGGGCGGGCGCATCAGGGCAGTAAGGGCCGGCCGCCTGGTAGAATCGCGTGGTTCCCTGTGCCCTGTTCAGAAGGATTTGCTAGTGGCCACACAGGGTCATCCTGGTCAAGTCCCCCACCCCTGCGCGTTCCTTTTGCTGGCCTGGGAATGAAGCTCCGTGGGCCCAGGCAGAGCTGGTTGTATGTGGGGTGGGTGGTGGGTGGGGACAGGAATGGAGGGCAGGTGTTTGTGTGTCTTCATTTTATTTATTAACTGGGATGAAGCTGAGAGATAAAAGTGGGAAAATGTCATCCTTTGACATTTACCTTTTCAGAAGAGTTGGCAGCGCCGTGGGGGGTGGTTTTAGATCGTCTCCCCTGAGCCATGCCTCCAGGGAAGTCCAGCCCCATGCAGGGAGGTGTTCCCTGCTCTGTGTCCTTTCAGGAGGAGCCACTGCCGCCCTTCAACTCACCCGATGGCTGTATCGGGTCCCATGTCTGCCCCAGCAGCTCTGGTCCTCAGGCCCCTGGAGCGGGGTTTCCCGTGGTTCCGGGAAGCACGCAATTCAGGCGGAGTGAGGGACAGGCGCCTCTGGCAGNCCGGGAAGCATGCAATTCAGGCGGAGTGAGGGACAGGCGCCTCTGGCAGAGCTGGGCGCATTTAATCCTGTTTAAGGAGCTGTCCTATCTGGACGGGAATCCAGAGCCAAGCCCTTTACAAACCACCAGTGACAGAGTCCAGCCTGGAGCACTTTGACTGTGAGATCAGGGCTGAGGCTGCTGTGGTTACAGCAGCTGGAGAGGCCACATGGACACAGTGCAGACCCCTGGTGGTTCACTCGCTGTGACAGCTCCTCCCTGTATGAAGCTCCGCCTTTGCACTAACCCCAGGTCCGCAAATGGGTTTTGTCTCCTGTGTCGATGCTGACCGATGGCTGGTGCCTCGGGCTGACTCTGCAGAAGGGTTTCCAGCGTGGGTCTGGCTGGCTGGGGAGGAGTGTGGCAGTTGATTAGTGATGTCTGCCACGGCAGGCGTAGGAGAGGGGTGGCTTGTACACCCGATAGTGGCCAAGCTCTCGCAGTTCTAACATTTCTAGCTTCTATCCGATAACTAGAAGAGCATACAGCAATATTGCTTGGATGTTTTTTCTCTGTAAATATTTAGAGGCCTTAAAAGCCAAGAGTAACAGCCAAGCCATGTTGCTTGTGAAAGACCCCTTAGAGCTCACAGACCAGAGAGCCCGGCTGGGCCAGCTGCAGGGTAAGGCGATTGAGTCTTGTCTGAGAAGCACAGACGAGCTCTGTCATCCCTCAGGTTCACAGCCTCCGCGAGTCCCAGTCCCTGCAGCATAACCACCTACCAGAGGACGGCACACAGCGCGTGGCCTTTGGCCGAATCTGCCGTCTGACCAGGCTGAGAAAGGGCCCTTCTCTACGGTTTGGGTTTCTTCCCTGTGCCTTTAAAAAATTGCTGCTAGAAGGAGACCAGCCTAAAAGGAAGTCTGAGGAATGTGTCCCAGCTGCGGGTCCTTGGGCAAATGACCTATTTCCCAAATGTGCACGGCTGGACAGGCTTTGGAGGGGTGTGAGGGTTCCCCAGGGTGAGGCTAGACCTAGAAGGCCCATTGGGCACAGTTCCTGGGACAGCCATCACCCAGTAGGGGGTGTCTGTGAATTTAGCAAGTGACCAGCATGGGTCATGTTTGGATTCCCTTTCCCCGGATGCAAGCGTGCACACTCACATACATGCACGCATGCAGTGCACACACTTCAGCTCTTAAGCACATGCACGCACATACAAACTCACATGCTCACAGAAGTGCACACACGTGATCACACAGGTGAAACTCATGCCCATGCACACAATGAGGTCTCCACGTTGAGGCCGGCAACCACCTCCTTGGTGCCCCGTAATTCCTGTAACAGATTGTGAGCAGCTTCTTCCTGTGTTGGTTGGTGTGTGTTATACTTTGTGCCCCAGGGTCGGCCACCTCCCTCTCCCAGCCTCTCTTTCCTCATGATCATCTGCAGATCCCGGTGGCTGCTTGCTGCCCGTCATTTGAAGATCTGTGGAATAACCGCGCTGGGGCCCTTGGAGCCGGGGTGGGGTGGGCGCTGTGTGTCTGGAGGAGGCCGTGGGGTGGGGGCCTCTGCTGGGGGAGGAGTGGCCATTGCTCCTCGCTGAGCATTTCCCTTCCTTGTTGACACGTCTGCCTGTCTGGGGACATACTGCCAGGACCCCCTCCCACACTCTGAACCTGCTCCGGCAGCCCGGCAGCCCTCAGATATCGGTGCACCAAAATGACAAATTCTGTACAATAAATACAAAATAGGCATCTAGCCCCAAAAATGCTTTGCCGTTTNAAAAATGCTTTACCGTTTTGTTTTTTTTTCCCAAGGAAATGTGCTCAGTGAACAGTTCTCTACTTTTACAAGACCCTTCATTGCAGTTTTATAATGACTTTCTGTTTTTTTGTGAATCACAGAAGCGTCCTTTCCTTCTTCCCCCAGGTCATCTCTGCGGTGTCCAGACTGTCCCTGCACAATGTGGCCCAGAACAAAGGGATCAGGTAAGCCCTCGGAGCCCACGCCCTCCCATCTCCACCTGCCCCCTCGGGCCTGGTCCCAGACATTGGAGTTTTCAGCAGTCATCCTCTGCCTGTGTCTTTATTGTGAATTTTCAACATGTTTTGGAATTGCTGTTGGCGGTGGCAGGGTGGGGAGGAGGGGAGAGGCTTCAGCTCACACCAGGAAAATCTTGCAGGCATGTTACTGATGGCTGCAAAATCTGTTTCGATTTAGGTAATAAGATCAGCAAATTAATCCTTTCACAGATCATTGCCTAGGTAAATGCTCTCTCCACACGTCAGAACCGGGATGCCTCGTGTGGATGGAGTAGCTGGGGTTTGTTTGTAGTGATGGGCAGAGCAAGGGGACCTGCCCACTTGGAGGCCTCAGGTCTTTCGGCTGGAATACCTCTACTTGGTTTCTGTTCTGCTCAGAATACTGTGGCCCTGCGGTCTGGCCTCTCACCTCTTGACACATGGATGGGGCCCACGTCCCACAGGGGAGAGGGGGAAGGGCAGCCCCACAGGACAACTGGTCATTGCAGATTCTGGTCCACAGATCAGGGTCAGAGAAACGTCTGAATGGGGACCAGATTCCAGATCAGGTAGGGACGGGCACAGGAGCTGCCCTTTCTGAATATCCCAGGAGGACATGGGCCAGCAGGGGGAACGAGAGTCTTGGGAGGGCGGTTGAACTCGGGGAAAGGGGCTTCATCCTGGTATTGTCTGTGGGGATGGCGCCCACCCGTAGGCTGGGAGTCCCAGGACCATGGTTCTGGGTGGACCTGGGGCCAGCACAGCTGCCCCTTGATGGGGCCGTTTGTTCAGGTTCAGAGTCACAGGGACATGCAAATGTTAGGGACCCCCCCCTCCTCCACAATGGGAGGGAGGGAGAGAGAGACTGGGAGAGAAACATCGATGTGAGAGAGACACATTGATTGGTTGCCTCCCACTCACCCGGGGATCAAGCCTAAAATGGAGACACGTTCCCTTGACCAGAATCGAACCCGACACCCTTCGGTCCGTGGGCTGACGCTCCAACCACTGAGCCAAACCGGCTAGGGCTTTTGTTTTTAATGTCACACGTAGGATGGGCTGTGTAAAAATGTTCCTACACGACGTGTTAAACACATACAAAAGAACATTTAGGTCTTAGGGCACCAGCTCATGTTCTAGAGCGTCGCCGGTACCTTTGAGGCCCTGGTTGAAATGGGCTGTTTCTCATTGTTCTGAGGCCTGTGATCGGGGCAGTTTAAAATGTTTAGTTAGAAAGAGAGTGTCAGTCCTAGATACAAAGACAGCACGCGGTTTTTATGTTTTGTTTTTCCCAGAAACGATCGTCTGTTCCTTTTCCCGCTGGCCCATGACGAGGGTTGTGTTGTGGTTTTATGGCCCAGCCTGTTTCCAGCAAATTCCTTATCTAATGCACATCCACATACATACGTAGGCAGGAATGAAGTTTGTGCAACAGTTAGTCATTTTACTTGCTCTTTCACGTGATGCTAGAATGTGATCTCTTCTCAATTCTTTCCACATTCTCCCCGCACCGGGGGCCCTGGGGCCGGGGGGCCCCGTTACGTTACGTCCCTGGGGGCGGACGAGCGGCCTGGCTTTACACGGATGTGGTCCTGCTGTGGCCTCTGCGCTTCCTTGGTGGTGTTCCAGGCTCTTCCCTCCCGAGGCCCAGGCTATTCCCGCCCCATCTGCAGGCTCTGAAGGCCTCAGTTTTCCTGGGGGTTTACAGCTGGTGATGAGACCCTGGTAGTGGCTTGGAGTGTGGTGAAGAATTTGAGAACAGATCTGTGTCTGCCCCGGTGTGTGTCCTGCTTTCTAATTAGTATAAAGGCCCCCTTGGATTGGGTGGTGCCCACACTCCTGGTCTTCTTGCCCCTGTTCCCCATCTCCCGTGGCCCTGGCATCCTGTTGGCCCCCGAGCTCCCAGCCGGAGCAGGTGCTTCACAAACTGTGGGCAGAAGGAGTCAGCCCTGCCCCCTGGGCCCTGCGCCAGCAGATGTGATTGGAAACCCACCCGCCTCCCTCTCTATTCTGGGAACCACCAGGCAGCACGTGGGCCCCCAGGCAGGAGAATGAAGATCCCAGCCCTGAAGGATGCGCCCAGTAAAGAGATGGCGAGCAGAGAGGATTGAGATCTGGCTGTGGAATTGGTGCGATCGGGTCCATACCCAGTGTCCAGCTTCCTGTGGGCCTCGTGCAGCAGGAGGCTTCTCTCTGCGTTGCCCTCGAGATGTGGGATAGCATGGGGGCTTAGCAGGATCTTCTGTGTTGGCCCAGAGAAGGGCTCAGTAAATATTATCATTTGTTTTAATAACATACCAGAAACAGAGTGTGTTGGGGGCCCCAAGACCACCCTCGGGTTCAGTGACTGGCTGGAGGGACTCTCAGAGCTCGGGAGGCCGTCATCCTCCGGTCATGGTTTATCTCAGTGAGAGGGCAGGGGTGAAATGGCACAGGGCACAGGCATGGGGCAGGGTCCAGGAGAGGCCAGGCCCGAGCTTCCGGTTCTCTGGTCTCAGTGGAGTTGTGTGGGTGACAGTTCTCCAGAATGATCTGTGACAACTTGCAACTTTTCTGGGGTCCTTCCTGCCTGCAGCCTCTGGGGGCGGGACCTCTGTCACCTCACACAGCTCACCTCTGCGAGCCAGGAGCTGGCAGCGCTGTTCTGAGGCTGCCCCATGCAGCTTGAGGGGTCAGATCATTGTCCACGCTGGCTGCGAGGTTTCCACAGGCCATTGAACACCCTGGGGCCATCAGCACTTTGTGGAGCCCTAACGGGGCTCTTCCATTAAGAGCTTTTCACGGTGTTACTAATAAGCAAAAGGCTTTCGTTCAGCCAAACCCACAACCCAAGCCCGCAGCCTGGAAGGCTCTTCCTCGTTTCTTTCACCGCTGGATGGGAGCCCAACGTGCCCTTTTAAAAAACGATCATTTCACAACACTCGTACTTTTCGTAATGAGCTGGTTTTCCATAAGAACCCAATCATATTTCTCAGAGGCTGCTGAATGGGAGCCTTAATCTGAGTCTGACCCGGTGCCCGGCTTCCAGCACCGAGAGAATGAATTTCTGTCGTTCTAAGCCGCCCAGTTTGTGGTACTTGGTTACTGACAGCCCCGGGACACAGACACAGCGGGGGACCAGGCTGGGTCCCTGAGCCTCTAGCATGCCTGGTGTGTGGCGTGCGAGGCTGCTCTTCCTGACCCTCACCCAGTGCTCACACAGCCCCTGCCACCCGAGACCTGGATGCTGAGGAGGAGATCTGCAGCTGGCAGGGAGCTTTGGGGTTCAGAGGCCCCCTCCAGTTAGCAGGGTTGGGAGAGTGGGCCTCCAAGGACAGTGGCCTCCTCATTTGTGGTGCCCTGTCCCCAATAGCATTCAGTGCTGAGAGCAGTAAGACTGTCCAGGACCCCGCTCAGCCCCTGTCCTTCCTTCTGGGGAGTGAGCTGGCTTCACTTGGTAAAATAAAACAATGCGAGACTTCCTCTCCAGCTGATACCACCGTTAAACATCCATCGGGGTGGCCGTGAAACATCGACTCGTTTTCAGAGATGGAAAAGAAAGTCTCGTCATGTTTGCGATGGGACTTATGCATATGCATAAGGGATGTGAGGTCATTAAAAATGCCTCTGGGCCTGGCCGGCGTGGCTCAGCGGTTGAGCATCAACCTTTGATCCAGGTGATCCAGGTTTGATTCCCGGTCGGGGCACATGTCCCTGTTCAGGCTCCATCCCCGGCAGGAGGTGTGCAGGAGGCAGCTGATCAATGACTTTCTTTCATTGATGTTTCTATCTTTTTCTCCCTCTCCCTTCCTCTCTCTGAAATCAATAAAAAATATATTTAAAAAAAAAGCCTCTGAAACAGCGGGGAGTCGGGGCCCTGGGCTGGGCCCAACAGTGACCCTGGCACGTATCTGCTGCCCAGAGTGTCTCCCGGCCCTCCCAGCCTTAGCTCCTGGCGGGGCTGGCCTCTGGGGGCTGGGGAAACCAGCCCAGGCCTTGCCTGCTGACCTTGGAGGCAGTTGAGGTCCACTTCTCCTTTGGTGTTGCTGGAAGGGAAACTGAGGCAGGCCTTTATATTCCCCCCCCTCCCTCCAGCACTAGAGGTGCTGAGCCAACATGATGCAGAGCTGCTTGGTCCCTGGTGGGGTTGGTGGCCGAGTTTTCTGCCATTTGGTGAATTCCTGTCTTGGACCCTCCCTTCCCTGAGTGCTCACGGGCCCCACACGCTGCCCCAGCGGGGGGATGTGGCTGGTAGTCCGGGCCCAGGTTTGGATGGAACGGTGTCCAGCCATGGCTCCTCCCAGGAGGGCAGCAGCGAGGCACCAGTGGTTCTGGTTAAAGCTGAGGCCTGGAGCCCAGCCCAGAGGTACTTGGCTGGGCCCTTGGGCCTGGACTCCAAGGTGAGGAATCGCAGGCCTGGACAGCTGGCTTGTGCCCAGCCCACCCTGCCCAGGGCTGCCTCAGATGCAGGGCTGGCGCCACCCAGAGGGCTAGGGTCCAGGTCTCTGCTTCCAGGTGGCCAAGCCGGCCTCCCCTGGTGCATGGTGGGAGGGCTGCAGACCTGTCCCCACCCTCACGCAGGCTCAGGGAGCACTCAGAATGCAGCGTCTCCCCTTGTCCTGGACTGTTACTAGTCATGTGCCGTACTGTGTGCTGTGAGAATTTGACACTCGCACAGCAGATTCACGTTTTGGTTTCTTTCTGACTTACTCCCGTGCCCAGATGTACACAAATACAAGCCCCGTTGCCATGTGATTAGGGAGGGCGGTTGTCAGGGAGCAGCTGGGACTCTGCTCTGCCATTACTCGGGGCTCTGGAGGGTCATTTCGTATTCCGAGCTCTGTCCTGGCAGAGCCCTGGCAGGCCAAGGGGATTTCCTGCCTAGCCCGGGCACGTGTCCCCTGGGAGGAGGCCGAGATGGCATGGAAGGAAGCTGCAGAGTGACTTCGGGGCCTGGGACCCGCTCAGGTGGCTACACTGGCTTTTCCTCTCCAAACTGCTGCTGTTCCGAGAAGTGTGCAGAAAATCACAAATATATTAACTTCCCAGTTGGGAAGTGCCTTTCTCTGTCCTCGGCAGCCGTGCCAGGCCCGCCCTCCCTGGCACATCGGGATGGCAGGGACAAACCATTCTTTCCTGACTCTGAGGTCAGAGTGTCTTCCTCCACCTTGCTAGGGCCCCAAAGTGAGGAAAGAAATAGCCTGGCTGGGATTTGGGGGACACTTGGGTTTCTCCTCTGGGGGGGGACACTTAGCATTTCTTGCTTAGGAGACCACGCCTTGCCACCCTGCCCCCATCTCTGCTGCACCTGCCTCTGCAGACATCAGGGTCCCTGCCAGAGCTGTGGCAGTGGCTTTACCTCAGTGTCCCCACCTTCCAAACCCCCGCCTCACGAGGCAGAGAGACCCTCCTCCTCTGTGCTGACTGTGGTTTAAGATCCTGGTGGTAGTGGCCCTGTCCCCCAGCCCTGGGTGGCATTCAGGGTGGGTGTGGGTCCCCCTCCTCTCCAACACAGGGCAGAGCCTGAGCTGGGTGTGGGCGTGGGCTGGGTGGTCTGGCCTGGCGCTGCCCCCTGACGTGATGGCCTTTCTGCCCCGGGTGGGGTGGCGGGCTGAGAAAAGAAACGCGATCCGTTGGCCTGTTTTGACAGTCCGGGCTGTGTAGCAGGAGAGCCGTTTTTAATCAGCGAAACCCTGGCGCTCCAAGGCCTCCCCGCCAATTAGCAGGCGGCACCCAGGTGACTCTCTCAATAATTAAACGGGCCTGTCGGGTCCTCCAGGCTTGCTCTGGATGTGCCTTTAAAGTTTGCCTGGCTGCCGTTTCCCTGGCAAGCTGGTGCCAGAGGGGGTGCTGGCTGGGCTTCCAGGGCCCCTCCCACCACGCTGGCCTCTTCCTTCCACTTAGCTCCCTCCCCTTGGCCTCGGTCACACCTCGTGAGATGCAGCGGAACCTGACTGCATCCTGGTGCCAGGACCTGCCACAGCCCCACCACCTATAATTCTGAGGCCAGTTTCAGAATGGGAAACTGAGGCCCCTCCAGGGGAGATGACCTGCCGAGGGCCCCTCAGGTCATGTCAGTGGCGCAAATTGAACCACTGTTGTCTGCAATGTGCAGGAGGGAGACCAGCTCGTCTGCCTTTTGGGCTGGGATTCCCTAGTCCCAGGCAAACAGGATGGGTGGTCACCCCCTGCAGGACAGGTGCTGGGTGGCCTCTGAGGTGAGTCTGCCTCTGCCCCTTCTCTCGGATGTACCAGGCGGGCCAGGGAAGACCAAGGTATCCGTGATGCTTTCCTTAAACATGATTCCTTGGCTGGGACCTCGTCTCTGGGAGCCGGAGTCCCCACGTGCTCCTCTGCATGTGCCAAGCGAAGGGTGCAGAAGTTAGGAGGCATCTCAGGCCTGGTGCTCTCCCATCTGAGCCTCACAAGGGCCCTGTTACCCCATGTTCCTGGGGAGAGAACTGAACTGCAGAGAAGCAGCACGTGCAGGTCACACAGAGAGGAGGTGGTTGTAGGGTTCAGGCCTCGTGTGCTTCACTCCCAAGCCTTGGGGAGGTGGGCACCATTGTTCTGACAGGTCAGACCCAGGGTCACAGCAGGTCTGTGACAGCCGGGCAGGATCCAGGCCTCCAGCTCCTGGGTCAGTGGAGCCCCTCCCCAGGCCCCCAGGTCCCTACCCCACGGAAAGCCGGCCCTGAGCTTTGGTGTTGGGAGCTCGCCTCTAGCTCCCCTTCCCCCATTCGCCCTGCTGAGCAAATATCAGCCGACTGGGGCGAGGAAGCCGCAGCTGGGGTTTCCCCTCGAGATCCTTAGTAACAGGCCTCCTACCAGAACACGTGTCCCTGGGCTGCATAGAGGCGCTTGGTTTAATTAAAGGGCATTTTTGTCTCCCTCCAGAGGTGGGTTGATTTGAAGGAGCCCCCTCCCCCTCGCATTTCATCTGCTCTCCCAAAGCCCTCGGTCCTGGAGGCTGGCCTTGGTGCGCGCCAAGCGGTTCAACCTGAACTGGGCTCTGCACCTGTCTGCAGGTCCCTGCGGGAGTAGCGGGCATACAAGGGACTCCTGGGGAGCCTGGGAGAGGGCGTCAGGTGTGGGTTTCATAGAGAGGTTGCTGCGTGGGCATGGAGGGGTGCTGGTTGGTGGTGGGCAGGGAGAGTCAGGTGTGGGCGTGGTACAAACCATGTGCCTGCCCCCCAATTTCATCCCATCGCCCCTTTAGCTGGAATGTGCTGTTTCCTTTGCAGACCTGCCCCCTTCCTCCAGCCTGGGAACAGGGATCTCCTTGTTTCAGTCCCCAAATGACACTGAGGGGTGACAGACTGAGGGGCTCACCCCCTCCCAGCGAGCATGTGCTGGGTGCAGGCAGTGGGGGTTCCGTGCCCGAGTGCTCTCCTTTGACCCTGGCCATGCCCAGGGCTCCGTATTCCCTCCACCTCACAGACGTGCACGCGCAGACTCAGGAAGGGCAGGGCTGGGATTTGAACCTGGCCCTTGAACCTGGTGAGCCTCTAATCATCACGTGCACCTGCTGGCCCCCAACAGCTGGGCAGTGGGGGCTGGGCCCGCCCACTCCTGTGTTCAGGAGTCAGGCCCAGTTTCATTTTGCTGAGCCCCTCACATTCTGCCAATGAACCCCCTTTCCTCCCACCCTCCCTGTGAGTTATCCCTCCGGGTTCTGAGCCACCCAGGTGGATGGACACCTGTCTCCTGAAGACCACAGCCTGTGAGCCCCCTCTTCACAGCAGGAAAGCTTTCTGACCCCGACCCTTTCTCTCCTCCCAGACGCATCCTGGGATGACAGAGTGGACAGGGACCCTGGGCATCCCCCAGGTACAGAATTGTGAGATTTTCATGGGAAAAGATTTTCATGGGAATAGTTTCAAACCCAGATGAGTGTGGATGCACAGCCCACTCTCTGTCTCCTAGAGAGTCTCATGACGGCAGAGCCAAGCAGGGCTCTCACTCCAGGGGCCCGTGATGGCTGACGGAGACCTGCTCACCTCACCCCTGTCTCTCTTCCCACAGGCCTTTTCCCTCCGAGGAGACGGCAGAAAACGATGATGACGTCTACCGCAGCCTGGAGGAGCTGGCTGAGTAAGGAACCGGGGGAGGCGGACTGGACGGACGGAGGGAAGGAGGGAGGCCCTTTCCTGCAGAGCTGCAGAGAGAGCTGGCTGGGCTGGGCTGGGCCGGGCCAGGCCGGGCCCCTGGGTGCTGTGTTGGGGGATGCGGGCGTTTCCAGAACTGGGGCCCTTGGACCAAGGGCCACAGCAGCGGCAGTGTGTGGGCTCAGGGTTGCCTCGTGGCCTGACAGGGCAGGCGTGGGGCTGAGACCAGGTCACCTGAAGCCACAGGTGTCCCTTCTCTGGGAGGCCCTGTCTTTGAGGTGCTCTGTGTCTGCTTCCTCTCTCTGAGGATGTCCTTGTGCAGCCACACGCGGCCCAGGCTGGCCATCCATCCTGGGCTAGTTCACCTTACAGGCCTGGAGCCCCTCTCTCCCCCAGAGACCGACAAGAACCCTGAAGAGGTTGCCTGTCTCTGTGGGATCATCTGTGGCCAGGGGTGGGATTGTGTGACCTACTGCTCAGGGCTGGGCCAGGCAGCTTCCCTGAAGGGGCAGTGGATGGAGGAGGCCGGGGTGCCCCGTCCTACAGCAGGGGAGCCTGAGCCGCAGAAGTGATAGGTTTGCTCAGCCCTGGGATGGCCCCTGGTGGCTCCAGACCTGGCTGGCTTCTGCCCTTAGGCCAGGCGGAGAACCCTACACTGGCTTCCTGCTGACGGGGAGCCTCGTTCCTATTTGACAGCAGATTTTTTTGGGTCCCAGATAAATGGCTATTTCTTCTGTTAAGATTCTTAACATCTCTCTCTTCACTCTATAGTGCAAGCTGGGGAGAGAGCCAGTGTTTACTATGGTCATGCCCACCCTCACATGCCCGCTGCCTCTGGGGTGTGGAGTCAGGCAGATATCTTTTGCAGGATGCTGTCTACTTAAAACAATTAGAGTCATTCAAAAATCAGACATCAGCATTGTTCTGGCAGCCTGATCTCCTGTGATTATGTGAATGAAATACCGGTGGGAATAGCTGCTTACCAGCCCATGTTCCTGAGCCTGGGCAGGCAAGGGCCCTGCAGTGACCCCACTGGGAATCATGGAGCTCTTTGGGGCGTCTGGTCGACCCCATGTGGATTAGAGGGCTGGAGAGCAACCTGGAGGGGGGAAATGGGGCCTGGGTGCAGCTAGGGCCTGGAGCAGCCCGCCTGGATGTCACTGCCCTCCCTGACCAGTCCTGAGAATCAGAGGGGGACTTAGAAAATGACTCAGGTTCACGCCAACACGCAGGGCCTTTGAGGGTGGGGCTGAATGAGGAGCTGCTCACCCACCTGTAGGAGGAGGAAACCGAGGCTCAGAGAGGCTCTGCTGGAAGGAGGTCCCCCAAGGATGAGAACCCGCAGCCCCCTCCCCCCCTTCCCGGTGCTTTCCGCCGTGGAGTCCCTTCTCATCTGCCAAATCTGGGTCTCAGTGTCTCCCCCCTGGGAAACCCCTCCTACTGCACCCCCACCCTGCAGAGCATCCACACCCCTGTTTGGCTTCCATGGGTGCACTGTGATTAGGTGGTTAAATGCCTGTCTCCCATAGACTGGCGGTGCCTGAGGTCAGGCCTGCGTCTTTATCATGAGCACCCCATTCAGGTCTAGCAGTGTGGGCATGTGCACGTGGCAGCGGCAAGCCCCAGGTGGTAGTGACAGAGCCTTTACAGGGCTGGGCACCGCTGGGACCTTATCCCTGTGTATCCCTTTGCCCCAGTGCTTTGTGAGTCTGTTCTGCAGTGCCCCAATTGTACAGATAAAGAAATGGAGGCCTAGAGAGGGGAAGCCCTGGTTCATGTCACTCAGCTAGCAATTTGACCCCAAGTTTGTGCCCTAACCTCTCTGCCATGCAAAATTGGAACCCCCCAGAGCCTGGCGAGCTCCCTGTCCAACGCTAAGGGTGCGGTCCATCATGATTTGCCATTTCTCCAAGTCACCAACCTGAGGTTGGGGGTCGATGTTCTCCGGAAACTTTCCTTGGTGGTCAGTAGACCGAGGGCACCTCGTGCAGCTGGGACGTGGCAGGAAATAACCTCCTCAGAACCAGCCAGGAACCCTCCTCTCAGCTGCCACCCTATGCACCTGTCCCCGATGGCTTGTGGTGCATGGTCAGTTTTGGGGGTCCCTACGCGGTGAGTCAGGCAGCAGCAAGCCGGGCGCCCATGTCCCCTTTCTCTGCCCCTTCCCGAGTGACTGAGCTCTCGAACCAAAACGAATGTAAGTCCTCTTGGATGGAAAAGCCAGGCTGGGGGATGCGTGGCTTCGCACAGTTCGGGAACATCATTCCCTGACATTAAGAGCGGGCCGTTTAATCCAATGAGTTCCTTACGGCTGCCGTTATTGCAAACATAAATCATGAATTGTAGGGATGGGATGAATCTGAGTCTTTAACTTGCGATTTGGTCCCAGCGGCTCCAGTTTAATAAATTTTTCATGCTTTTCTCCCCCTTCTCTTTTCACTGAGTAGCAAGATTCCCTAGCAGCCTGTCCCCGTGGACCTGGGGTTGATATTATCCATTACGGCAGTTTACAAGGCAAACAGAAATGCTATTTCTCACCTGGTGGTGGCTGGGGAGAGAATGTGGCTGTGTCCATTGAGACTGGGGCTGGGGCAGTGGCCCCGATCTCATCCCAGCGGCCAGGAGCCAGAGAGTGACATTTTGAACAGAACCTGCTTGTTCTTTCCTTTGGGCTCTTGGCCAGGTGTCAGAAGTCACCCAGACCTGATGCTCCACAGCTGTTTGGGGACCATCAGACACGGGAGCCACATGCAGCTCTCTCTGCCACGCAGGGTACCTGTGTGGCTCCTGGGGCACCGGTGAGGGACTGCCATGGCGAGTGCCCCAATGTCGGCTTCCATTCGTTCATTCATTAAATCAGTCGTGTATTTCTTCAGTTGCCAGCTGGTTGCTAAGCACTTTCTGTGTTTCCAGGAGCTGGAAATATAAAGGGGAGTGAGATACCCCCCTGCCTGCCAGGACCCTGAGCTCCGGGCGGTGGGAGTGGGGGCTGTAAGAGGGGCAAGTGCTGGAGGACAGACGCCCACCAGACACAGCTCCTCAGTGAAAGCCGCCTCCCACCCACCCAAAGCAGGAGTCTGTCTGTCCTGCTCCCACCACACCTTGTTCCCAAGCCACCAAGACTCTTGTTGGACAAATCCAGGAGCCCTGGCTCTGTCGTGTCCTATATGTGTGGCCTCTGGCAAGTTTCCCACCTTTCTGTGCCTCGGTTTCCCCGTTCTGTATCTTTTTTGGGGAACAGTTGGGAAGATCGCCAGGGACACTGCCGGTAGCACAGCCCCAGAGAACACACCACGAGTGCTCGTGCAGGGACAGTGGCCCGGCCCCGGTTTACCATGACTGTGGCTGTGGTTGTGCCATCTAGAGAGTCACACATGAAAAGAAGCAGGTGAAGTTAATGTTAAGAATATATTTTTATTTAACCCAATATATCCAGACTGTTATCTAGCTCGACACATAATCACTACACGGACCGTTAGGGAGTAGCCGACATGCTCTGTAACTGTAAGCGCAGCTCAGTCGGACTTGCCACGTTTGGGAGCTCACAGCCATGGGTGGGGTAGTGGCCCATCTGGGCAGCATGGGTCTTGGGTGTAGAATGTGACTCCAGGGGCTGGAGAAGTCCCAGTGTTTGAACTGATGACACTGGGCTAAGATGATGTTCTCAAGGGCTCTAAGCTCACGTTTGATGCCACTGAATAATGTATAATTGAGTAAGACAGCAGCTGGTTGAAAAAATTAACACAAAATAATGCCACTTAAAAACGCTTTATCAAGCAAACTGGGAGGCCTATTTCTAAATTGCTCTCGTGATTAATGCCTTGCATTTGCATATGTTTTATCCCTCCCTGAGAACCTCTTTTCATTCTGAGGTGCTCCTGGGAGCCTGGGGGTGCTGTTCCTCCTGTCTCATACCTGCCCTAGTCCTGGGCCGGCCTGGGGTTAGGTGCCTGAACTGGGGCAGCTCCTTGCCCAGGGCTGGGAGGGAGTTTGCACACAGAAACATGACACAGTGGGAGCCCAGAGTGGGGCTGGGTAAATGCCAGCTCAGCAATCAGGGAAGGCTTCTCAGAAGAGGTGACAACTAGACCTTAGAGCCCAAGTAGGAACTGCTGAAGAGCAGGGCTGGCACCCCAGCAGAAGGAGCAGTCTTGCAGAGGCCTGGCAGGGCCCAGTGCTCCAGAGAGCAGGAGGTGTAGGGAGTAGGGTGAGGCAGGAGAGTGAGGCAGGACCACCTGCCCAGGACCTGGAGTTCCCATCTCAGAGGTGTGGCTCAGCATCACCCTGTGGAAGTACAGCATGGTTTGCAACACCTCATGGGGTTTGCAAGAAATCAGAATTATCGAAGCTCCCTGGGACTCACGGGAGGACTTCCCTCCACCCCAAAAAGGCGCGGTCCACGTGGGAACCCCTGCTGCCTCCCAACTGGGGTGTCTTCAGTGGCGGAGAGCACCTGGGTGTGCCGAGGCTGCTATGACATCAGTCTTGCTGGCTGGAGAGGGAACTGCCATGCAAGCCTGTGATGACAAAGCTGTGTCCCCCTCAGCTTTGGCCGCCACACATGGCTCTCATGGTGTTCTGTCTTCCTCTGGGCGCATTAAATCCTCAGAGCCTCAGTTTCCCCATCGCTGGAGTGAAAGCTCCAGCTGGGTGGTACGGGGGTCCCTTCCAGGCAGAAGGATTCATGGTTTTGAGATGCCAGTTCTGCTTTCCTGGGAGTTGGAGTGGTTTCCAGGCTTAAACAAATGTGACGTGAAATGGCCGGGGCAGGATTCTCCATGGATGGGTAGCTCGTGCTTTATTGCGCCGTGAAACGACCTCAGCTTGAAACGTGCCCCGTTGGCATCGTTGGGGTAATTTTTTAAGGTGCATAAAATGTAGGAGTTTCTGAGTGGATGCTGCCTTTGGTGGGGCGCTGGACAATTCCCTTGTCCCTGGGGAGTGAGGAGGGGACACAGGTGATGGTGGGGGCTGCAGGCCACCCTT